TTTTTTTTTTTTTTTTTTTTTTTTTTTTTTTTTTTTTTTGAGACAGGGTTTCTCTGTAGTTTTTGGTGCCTGTCCTGGAACTAGCTCTTGTAGACCAGGCTGGCCTCGAACTCACAGAGATCCACCTGCCTCTGCCTCCCGAGTGCTGGGATTAAAGGCGTGCGCCACCACCGCCCGGCGGAGTTCTTTTTTTTTTAAGATTTATTTATTTATTATGTATACAACATTCCTTCCATGTATGCTTGCATGCCAGAAGAGGGCACCAGATCTCATTATAGATGGCTGTGAGCCACCATGTGGTTGCTAGGAATTGAACTCAGGATCTCTGGAAGAGCAGTCAGTGCTCTTAACCTCTGAGCCATCTCTCCAGCCCTAAAAGGAGTTCTTATCTCCACAGTTAAAGTAAGTACAGCCAAGATGTAAAATAGTGCAGCAGTCAGGAGAGCAAAGGCAGATACTCATTAAACAAAGGTACTGGGGGATTTTATTCAGTGAGCTCAATATATCCATATGAGTTGGCCCATGTTTTTGTTTTTCTATAATTTTTTATTGAATCTTTGGGTATTCCACATCATGTACCCCAATCCCCCATTTCCCAGTCTTTCCATATTCACCCTCCACTCTTGTAGCCTCCCTCCAGAAGTAAATGAAATAAATAAATAAAATTAGAAAAGACAAAACAAAACAAAAACATCTTGTCGGCCCTGCTCCTCTACCAACTGCAGCGTTCTGGTGCATGTACCATTCTGCTCCTCCATCCTTCCCGCATCTCCTTTATATAGTCATTTGTCACCGTGACATTGGAAATTGCAGTGTGTCACATAGTATACGCTCCTCCAAACAGTTTTACTTAAGAATGTTCAATCCCCTGAGTCATTAAGCTGGTTCAAGGTCTCTGGCTTCCGCTCCAATGTCAATACTGTGCCCTCAGAGACTCAGATATCCTCCTGCCCTGGGTCAGGATCCTGCAGCTCCTAAATGGGGAAGTGCTGGAGTGTGGTTGGCCCATTCTTAATCATACTCTTATCCCTACAAACACTTCTGAGCATGCTCAGCTTAATTAATTTAAGAAGATACTACATACATTTTTAGGTCATGGGTTATGTGTTTATGAGATTGAAGGGGAAGGAACAGGAATACCTCTAGGCATGCTCAGATTACACCAGAAAGCCTTAGCTGAAAATAAAGGACACTTTGAAAGTGCATAAATTTAGGAGTTTGCCCCTTGAGTGTTTGCCTTACTTAGTGGAACTGGTGTGTGGACACTAAAATTGTCACTTGTTCATTTGGTTGGCTATATTACTTACAGATTGTCCAGTCATACCTTTTGCTTTACTGCAGACTTAAATCAGAGTTGTACATTACCAAAATTTAAAATATGGATTGTTATACTTCCACATTTATCAGTCTTCAGTTTACATAAGCAAGCACATGGGCTTTTGAGGGAGGTTTGTTTGTGTATGTGTGTTTCGAGTTGTTTATTTAGTTAGAGACAGTACCTTGCTATGTAGTCTAGATTACCATCATCTGCCTCAGCCTCTAGAGTTGAGATCATAGATGTAGCAGCCACAGCTGGCTACTAGTCTTAAATCCATTCTGTTTCATACTCATATTTTGTACTGAGTTTTCATTCAAACAGAAAAATCTGAATGCTATGGGAGAAACGTGAGAATCGTGGCATATTTTATTTTTTGAGACAAGGTCTTAATATGTAGCTCTGACTGGCTTGGAACTTGCGGTGTAAACCAGGCTGACCTCGAATTCACAGAGACCCTCCTGCCTCCAGAGTGCTAACTTTAAAGACGTTTGCCACTATTCCAGAGTCACCGGCCGACATTTTTTAAAAAAATATATTTCGGAACTCTGAGAAAATAAATAAGTTCTTTTTTTGTCAGTAACTGTTTAGGAGCAGATGGCTTTTGTGCAGTTGGCACCAAGGTAGCTCTCGCCCTTCAAACGGAGGGGAGGTGGGCACAGCGCCTCCGGGAGCCGCCAGGGGTCGCCAACGCCCGCGGAGCCCTCAAGCGCCGCTCTATGCGTCGCCAGCGTACGGAGCTAACAGCGACTTGGGCGGGAGACCGCGGCGCAGTGCATTCTGGGTTGGCGCAGCCATGGCGGCTCGTGTCCTTTCCGTCTGTGTCCGCCGCCTGCCCGCGGCCTTCGCGCCGCTGCCCCAGCTTCCCACACGGGCCTTGACCCGGCCGCTCAGCATCACTGTCTGCCCTGAGGGAACCCGGAGGAAGTCCGGGACTCTGCAGCCTGCCCTGGCCCTCACGCAGGTGACTCGCGGTGACTTTGCCGGTGCTGCTCAGGGGTCAGGGCCCTTGCCGTCCGGGTTGGGGGAGGGGCCCCGGCCGGCTGCACAGCGGCTGCAGGGATGATTCGGGGTACACTGCTAGCCCTGCTGCCCGACGAGTTTTGGTTGACCCCTGTCGCGAGGCCGAGTGTCTTGTGATTAGAGCACAGAACTTTGACCAAGTCTCGACCGAACAGAATTGGTCTCCAGCTCTCATCCTTGCAGAGTGGCAGTGAAGTACAGCTGAGAGAGGTCGAGTAGATCACCTCCTGCAGTCCCCGTTGTTGTGGTGATGGTATACTGTGGACACCTCCTAGGGAAGGTTAAAGACAGCGTGCACAAGAGGAAACCACTTGCATGTACAGAGTATTGCCTTACTAGAGTTCTGTCGTAATTTTTCCCTTGTGACACCTTGTGAGCCTTCTGGAAGTAGAGATAGGAAACAAGTGTGAGGCTGAAACTCTAGGGCGTCACTTCCAATCCTAGATTCCCAACAACAGATTTTAGCCCTCTTCCCGCACCCCCTCTGACTTATTCCTATGGGATCAGGCCCTTGCATGGCGTTCCACGTTTCCCATGTGCATCCCAGATTAGGAACTGCTTACTGTAGGATAGACTGGGCCAAGGTGGAAAACCCTTTTCATACTCATGAGCTTCCTATGGTCGTGGTTTCGGTTACATCTGCATCCTACAGGAATAAGAATCTACATCCAGTGTTGAGATTTGCTGACAGTGTACCAAAAGCTTGTCATATAAGGGCAGTAAAGTTGCCTGTGTGTTTGGGTCTAGAGACTAATTTCAGTTAGTTTCCCTGTTCTTACAGCATTGCTTCGCAATCATAGGTGTGCACACAGCTCATCGGGGTTACAATGGAAGACTGATTTGATAGGTCTGCAAAGTGTTTGTTTTCCTGGGCTTTGCATATGTGGTCCTGAGATCATGTTTAGAACAGGCAGTGCTCTCTCTGCTGGGTTTACACTGACAGTAGGGGAACTGCTTTATGCATACAGAATGGTTTTGAGTTAGCTCACTGATACATGAAGAGAGAGAGTTGTTTACAGGGTATTTTAGGTTTGTTATTGGAATATGCATGTTCTCTGCACAAATCAGAGGAAGCAAACAGTAAGCAAGATTTGTTGAAGAAATAAGAAACCTTTTCACTGAATCACCCAGCTTCGGTGACTGAAATAAGTTGGCTTGGAAGTTTCTGGCTAGACAGAAGATGGAGAGGGAGTAGAATAAGGAAGAGATCTGTAGAGGTGCGGGTTTGTTTCAGACAGCTGCATTTGAGGTGTCTCAGTCCTGAGGTTTGAACTGGGCAAGTGACACAGATGTCCTTTAAAGCTTTTTCCATAAACAAAGAAGGGCAGAGGGGAACAAGATGGATTCTAATAGAAACTCTTCAGTATCAGGCTAACTCAGCGTCACTGCAGATAGAGCCACCCTTGATGCTTAGAGATCGTTTATGTCACATGTCTGAGTCTGGGGGAAGAACACCCCCAAGACAACTATAGACTGCAGGGGAGGTGCTTTCCGAACAGTAGACATCTGGCAGGAGGAAGCAATTTAGACCCTCCAAGAGATCATGCAGGGGGCTCTGGAGCAGAGTACTTAACCATCCTGCCTCAGTTTCTTTGTAAAAGGTATGTAAAGTGCTCAGAGTAGTACCATGGTCTGATTTAGTGAGGCAAATCAATCCTGGCCTGTAATCTCAGCTCCTTTGTAGGCAGCAATAGAAATAACATGTTTAAGGCCTGTCTGGGTAAAAGTAAGTTCAAAGCTACCCAGAGTAACTTAATTAAGCCCCCATTTCAAAACCAAGGCTGGCAGTATAATGGTGGAGCCGCTGCCTGACATGGATGAAATGGGCCCCATTCCAGTACCAAAATAAGTAAATAACAAAATTTTAAAATTACCTAGGAAAGGAATAAATGGGATGTGTATTTTAGGCTACACCACAGCTGAGGGCCACACTGCCAGGCTGCTGTAGCATTGCTATATATATGCCAAGCAGTATCCAGTGCTTTCACATCATCTTACCTTGCCACAGTCTTATGAATGAGGTGCTGCTGTTTATCCATATTTAACAGCTAAAGAAACAGAGGCATACACAGGTTTTATAACTGGATGAGGACAAACAGCTAGTAAGAGCCCATAACAGCAGCACTTAACAGCTAATTAACAGCAGCAGTCTTTCCTAATCTGATCTGGTTTCTGAGGCTCACCTCTCAGCTCACTACATCTTACTGCCTTGTACTGAGCTCACTGCAACCATCTATTTTAGACTGACATGTAGCCTCAAGACAGAGAACTCTTAGTTCAGTCTCTTGGTACTTACCTGGCCCTGCAAGAACTTGCCAGTGATGCCTGGTGAGCTACTGACACCTAGTGACCACATGAGCTTACGTGCAGACTCTTCCCAGTCATTCTTTTCCCATGGCCTGGTGACATGCTGGGCACTGTTCTCCATCTCCACTTCATACCAGTCCTTGATACTTTTTGTTTTTTGTCTTTGAGACTTCAGGCTGGCCTCGGAACTGTGTTGGTGAGGATGTGTCACTCTTGCTCATCCTCCCAAGTATGAGGATTGCAAGCCTGAACTACCATGTCTTTCTAAAATCTGCTCGGGTTTTTTTTTTCCTTCCAGGCTGAACACTGAACACGAGGCCTGACTCATACTAGGCAAGCCCTCAACCAATGAACTACAACCCCAGTCCCTTACTAGTTTCTAATCTCTTTTCTATACCTTCTTGATATGCACACAGGACTTGATAGGTCCTCCTACCTTAGGCGGTCATTCTCTGTCATTCTCATTATTATCATATTTATTCTCCCCCCCTTTTTTTTTATTACTTTCTGCTTCATTTTGTGACCTCTTTAAGTCATTGTGATGAGTAGATCTAATGGTATGTCCCTAATCAAAGAGCTCTGACACACAGTACAAAGGCAGCAATGGATTTAGGCATGAAAAAAGTATTGTATTCAGAGATCCTCTAGAATATATCTTCAGTTAATGTTTTTAGTTTGCTGCAAATTAAGTCTATCTTGATAAAACAGTATATACTGGCTCAGTTTTATTTTGAAGTAGGTTCTTGCTCTATAGTTCAGGCTTGCCTGGACTCTGGCTATCAACCTCAACCTCTGAAATGTTAGGGTTACAAACATTTGACACCACAGCAGCTCTTAGGTCATTTTTCATAGGTATTTTTTCATAGACATACTCAGGGACCTGAGTGCCAGCAAGCAAACCCAGTTCTTTCTCTCTCATATATTTGTTTAGTTAGTATGTGAGTATGCATGAGAAGGTCAGGGGATAACTTGAGGGTCCACGTTTTCTCTTCCCACAATGTAGATTCTAAGGATTGAACTTGGATTATCAAGCTTGGTGGCTAGTGCCTTTAGCCTTTGATCCATATTGGTATCTTTTTCCCTCCCCCTTCAGTATTGAAGATTGAACCCAGGATTTCACACACTAAGGAAATTGCTCTGCTATTAAGCTATATTACATTCCTGCCCCCTCTTTATTTTGAAACAGGTTCTCACTAAATTGCCTAGATTGGCCTTGATCTTGATCCTTCTGCCTCACTTCCCAAGTATCTGGGATTAAAAGCCCAGCTACAAACTCATTTTCTGTGGAAAAGCCTTAGCAATAAATTAAGAACTTTAAAGTTAGGAGCACTGGCCCTTTTATGTTAGTGACAGTCTTACTGAACAAGATGGTGTCCAAAGTCAGAAGAACGAGTCCTGATTTTGAGGACAAGTGACACCCATTTTGATGCTAGAGCTGCTGAGTTGACCCAGATCTATGCCTCAGTATATAGCAATGGCCACATTGGAGAATGAGATGGTAGGGGTTTGTAGAGCCCAGAAGCTTTGTGAAAGTGCCTGGCGTGCGTATTGAGGTGGCTCAGCAGGTAAAGACACCTGCCACCAAACTTGGTGACCTCAGCTCAAGCCCTAGGACCCAGTAGAAGAAGAGAATTGACCCCCCACAGCTTGTTCTCTGACCTCCAATCAGGTGCCATGGCACGTGTGCATTCTGCTCCCAAGTAAAAAATTTACGTGTAAGTTTTTAAAAAGATACCTGTAGACATGTGCACTACGTAAAAACACTTGGAACTGAGTGATACTCTCCTTCCTGTCTTTGTTCTAGGTGCCTGGAAAGGTCACACACTTGTGCCGCCAGTACAGTGACGCACCCCCTTTGACGTTAGAGGGAATAAAGGACCGAGTGCTGTATGTCTTGAAACTCTATGACAAGATTGACCCAGAAAAGGTAACTGGTTTAGATTTTTTTTATCCTTTCAAAATTTACTAATTTCCCTCTTGCTTTGTTTTTGTGTGTTTGTGTATGTACTTATGCATCTTGCATATGCATGCCATGGCCCCCATGAGGAAGTCACAGGACAATCTGCAGCAGTTCTCTCCTTCCACTATGCCTGTACCAGAGATTGAGTTCAGAGGTCATTAGGATCAGTAGCAAGCATCTTCACCTGCTAAGCCATCTCGCCAGTCCATATTTTTTTCCTTTAGCAAATATAATCACATAGTATAAAATTCAAAGGATCCAAACAAACATTCAATTAAAAGTCCTTCCATCAGGGCTGGAGAGATAGCTCAGCGATTAATAGCACTGGCTGATCTTCCATAGGACCCGGGCTCAATTCCCAGCACCCATATGGCTGCTTATAACTTAAAACTCCAGTTCCAGGGTGCCCAACACCCTCATACAGACATTCTTGCAGGAAGATATACCAATACACATAAATAGTAAAATAAAAAACTTCTTCCCAACTTCCAGCCAACCAGTTCTACTACTAGGAGATTGACATTGCCCCTGTATAGATATAGCTTCTTGTATATCTTTCCAGAGAGAAATAATCATTATGTCAGGCAGTATAGGCACATTATATAGCATAAATATTTGTCTTAGTTACTTTTCTATTGCTGTGATAAAACATGACCAAGGCAACTTACAGAAGGAAGGGTTTATTTAGGTTATAGCTCCATCATGGCAGGTAAGCATGGCACTGGAGAAGTATCTGAGAGTTTACATCTTGAACCATAAACAGGAAGCAGAGAATTCACCTGGGATGGAGGAGGCTTTTAATGCCTTAAAGCCTGCCTCTAGGACACAACTCCTCCAACAAGGCTACACCTCCTAATCCTTCCCAAATAGTCACCAACTAGGAACCAAATATTCACATGCCTAAGACTTATGGGGATTTCTCATTCAAACCACTCTTCTGAAAACACAAGTAGTCTGGGAGTGTAGTTCAGGGAGAAACATATTTACTCCATTACTCCATGATAGGGTCTAATCACAAGGAAAGCCTGCAAAAAACCACAGGTGGCCCATATACCAGAACTGCATTCTTTCTGCCTCTTGAGTTTTTTTGTTTTCTTGAGACAGGGTTTCTCTGTGAAACAGTCCTGGCTGTCTTGGAATTCACTTTGTAGACCAGGCTGGCCTCACACTCACAGAGATTAGCCTCCCTCTGCCTCTGAGTGCTGGGATTAAAGGCGTGCACCACCACTGTCTGGCAGCCATTTGCTTTTTTGTTTTAAAAGACAGGGTCTCGCTATGTAGCCCAGGCAGGCCCAAAAGTCACATTCTCCTCCTCCTGAATGCTGGGAATATAGAGGTACTACCGCAAGAGGTTTACTTCTTTCTTTTTTAGTTTAACTCTTAGAATTTTTTTTTTATGGTGGTTTGAAACAGTTTTTTTTTCTTTAGTAATTGAATCTGTTGTGTAGATTAATGTAGTTTTTAAAAAGATTTTTTTAAAAAAATGTGTGTGTGTGTGTGTGTGTGTGTTTGTACTTGCCTATGTGTATACTGAGGACACGAGGTCATCAGGTCATAGTTCTCCCATCTATTTTGAGGCAAGGTATCTCTGAACCTGGTGTTTCCATTTTCTCAGCTAGGCTGGAAACCACCAAGTCCAGTGTCTCTGCCCACTTGAGCTGTGGGTACAGGCATATACCAGACACACAGCTTGTTACGTGGGTACTAGGATCCGAACTCTGGTCCTCAGGATTGTATAGGGAATGCTTTTAATTGCTGAACCATCTTAGGCCCTTAACATGGATTTTGAAGAATATTTCTTGGTGAAGCCAAATTATAAGCAAGTGAATACAGTATTCTGTCATCTGACAGATATCTACAATTTATAATAAATCTTAGGATTTTTAGTTGTTGAGTGTATATATGTTGCTGGGGATGGAACTGTGGGCCTCATGCACACTAGGCAAATGCTCTATACTGAGCTACAGCCCTATAATAGTTTGGTTTTCTTTTTTTTCCACTGTGTAGCGCTGACTGTAATGGAACTTGCTATGTAGACCAGGCTGGCCTCAAACTCAGAGAGTTCAGTTAGTGTCTGCCTCCTGAGTGCTAGGATAGTAGCCTACAATTAGACTTGGAGGAGAAGGTTTTTTGTTAGTAAAATATCAAGAAAACAAATTCTCTCAGATGTCCTTTAGAATAGCGATCAAAGATCCTAATAAAATATATAGCATGAAATCTTTTATTTGAATTTCTTTCTAAACGTAACCACCTTAAAATAAATTTGAACAGGCTAACAAACTATACTATGTCCCTGACAGCATATGTTAAATATACTATGTTATTTAAAGGCTTGTGTTTCTTTGTGTTTCTTTGCAAATCTTCTATATGATGATAAAGTAGTACTCTGTTGTCTTGGGAAGCAGACACTTTCATGGATTCAATTTTGTTTGGTATTTCTTTCTTGCAGCTCTCAGTAAATTCTCATTTTATGAAGGACCTGGGCTTAGACAGTTTGGACCAAGTGGAGATTATTATGGCCATGGAAGACGAATTTGGTAACATATATTTGCTTTGGATCTATATGCTAGGAGTCCTCATTTTGTTGTTTTTAAGAAAAGAGCTCTCTCTCTGCAGCCCAGGCTATATCCCAGTTGACTCTTCAGTGGTTTAGTTTAAACTGAAGAAAATGCTGGAGTCTGGACTAGATTCAGATATTAGTAGATACAACAACAGCAATACTTGCCAGGCTTCTTAATGTCAGGTGAAGTAATATGAGGGACAGTGCAGGCCTGGCAGAATGTATACTAGCATTAAGGGCTGGCTGGTCCGAAAGGGCTTGGGAACGTGGGACCTTCGTGAGCTATGATGAATCAGCTAAACAGCAGTAATAAACTGTGTTAAGGACACACAGGTGAGGTCTGGGCCTCCTGCTCCAAGTTGTTTTTATTAAGATCTGTTTGTTGTGCAAACAATTCTTTATAAAGTCCCTTGGCTCCTTTTTGGGTAGCTGATTAGAAAGCAAAGGATATGTGTGCCACCCAATAGGGTAGGCTGTACTTAATACTCCGCATAGATGATATAAGCAAGTGTTAGGCTGTTGCTACTTAAAAACCTTTTGGATTTTTAAGTACCAGAGCTGGACCGAGTTCAGACATCTGTGAGCCTGACAAGCAGCGGCATCTCTCAAAATCTTCACCACACTGTGAAGTGAGTGTGCTGAATAGGAGCCTCAAGATGGGGACTCCTGAGAGAGCACATATAACGTGCTCAATACAGTATCTGAGCCAAAGTAAACCCTATTGAAATTATCACAACCCAACTGTGTAACAGGAACAAAGAAATACATGCTGCAGCATGAATGACCCTGGAGGACAAAATACAAAGCAGCTCATCACATGCTGCTCACTTGCTTCACTGGCGTGAAGTTTCAAGAGGAAGATGGATGAGGACAGAGTAGATTTAAGGCTACTAAGTGTTGGGATGATGGGGAGAGGGCTACTAATGACACTTGGGGTTTTTTGGTTTGGTTTGGTTTTTTTAGGGGTGATAATGTTCTAGGGCAGTGGTTCTCAACCTTCCTAATGTGAGCCTTAACACAGTTTCTCATGTTGTGGTGACCACCACCATAAAATTATTTTGTTGCTACTTTGTAATTGTAATTTTGCTACTGTTGTAAATCATACTGTAAATATATGATATGTGACTGTGACCCCAAAGGGGACCCACAAGTTAAAAACCACTGTTCTAGGGGACTTTAATTAAATGGATTAATTCTTAGGGAATTAAATAACAGCAGTGGTTGTACAATCTTGTGAGCACACTATGAACTACTGACTTTTATATTTAAAAGAAGAAATTTTCTGTTATTTCTAAAAAACTTAAGCCCAACATGATGTACTTATTTTCTAAAACTTACCTAGTTCAAAAACGAAATGGGATTCAAGATTGTTGGAGATGTTGAACACAGCTGTAGGTATTAAGAAAGGATCAAAGGCAAGCCAAGCCTGGTGGCACAAACTTGTAATCACAGCTACTTGAAATTTCAAGGTCAGCCTGAGTTACTGAGACTCTGACCTAAAATTAAAAGGGGGAGAGGAATCATATGCTTTTAGTTCTAAAGGGTTCGCTTTTTCCATATTCACACTGTTACCATTTTTTTTCCATTTTAGGATTTGAAATTCCTGATATAGATGCAGAGAAGTTAATGTGTCCACAAGAAATTGTAGACTACATTGCAGATAAGAAGGATGTATATGAATAAAGTTTCAGGTAAATAACTTGATATTAAACCACATTCTCATAGGATTAAACAAGACTCATAGAACAGAAGTTGGAAGTATTTGACAGAGACTGTCATTAGTTAGAGAACACAGACTGTTTATGGTTATCTGCCATCCAAGGCCCTAACCCTTGCTGTGATCTTTAAGAGAGGCTTGAGAGCATCATTCCTGGACAGGATTCAGCCCTCTTCTTTTGGTTTTTTGAGACATGGTCTCTCTGTAGCTTTGGAGTCTGTCCTGGAACTAGCTCTTGTAGACCAGGCTGGCCACGAACTCACAGAGATCCATCTGCCTCTGCCTCCCAAGTGCTGGGATTAAAGGTGTATGCCACCACCACCTGGAGCAACCTTCTTCTTAAAAGCAGTCTTACACAAATACTGCATGTCACAACCCAGAAATGAACCTCCATCCCTGTTACCCTCCCAGCACAGCCTCACCTGCTCCAAGAAGCAGAGATGGCCCAAGTTGCTCCCAACTAAGAGGGTGGGCTTCAGAGACAGAGACCCAAATTGGCTGTAATACCCCTTATGCAGTGAATCTGGTGATCTTGGACAAGTTGCTGAGCTATGAATTTAATCCCATGTAAAGTGGCAGTGAAGACTGACCCTATCAGGGCTTTGTGAAGGTCAAATTGGGTCATAGATGGGTATCATTGCCTGCTATTATGCCTCAGTCAACAGTTGCTATTGTTTCAGCTCTACTGTTTTGTGCTTAGAATATTTAGTTTCAATGCACTGGGCACCTTAAAGGTGGCACTTGGAGTCAGTGACTACACACTAAAAAGAAACCCAACTTATCTTGTCATTGCCAGAGCCTTCTTCCTCATCAGGAGGACTCGAGGACGCCCAACTGCATCATGGCTGACTGACAGCGGTTCTGTTGGACTTGTATTTAAATTGTCTGAGTGTTTTGCCCTTTAAAAATAAATCTATTATAAAACTAACATTTTTCTCTGTCTTCAGTTTTCTTTTTCTTTTTTGAGACAATCTTGTTCTAGCCTGAACTCATTAGCACAGCTAACCTCCCAAGTGCTAAGATTATAGGTTTGAACCACCCTGTTCCACCTAATTTTTAATGTTATTGATTTTGCTTAATGCTTTTAAAGATCTGTCATCAATAACCATGCATATCAAAAATACAGCCTAGGGTACTGTGCTGGTCAGCTGGGGTGAATAATAATAAAAAAATAGCAGTGTATGTTTTGTAAAAATGTCACAAACCCATTATTTTGTATGCAGACCAAAAAATAAAAATGAAAACTGTATGACCTATCCAGGCATGGTGGTATATGCCCATAGTCCTAGTGTGTAAGAGGTAAAGCCAGCTAGGTAACATAGCAAGACGCTGTGCTCCAGCAATGCACCTGAAGCAAGTTTCCCTTTCCCACCTCGGTACATGTACGTGTGCTCACAGTGAAAGAACACTCGCTTCACTTGTTTTTCCTCCGTGCCGATGAATTAGATATTACTAGCTGACAGCATATGGGTCTAGTTCTTCCCGAAAAAACCTTTTTCCAAAATACCAGAATTGAAGTTCGGGGGAGGATCAGCTCGGCTTTCAACACTGCTCTTTGGTCACGTAGCCATTCTCAGTTCTGCCCCCACCCCTTCTGAGACATGTTTTCTCTAGAGCCCAGGCTGGCCTCAGACAGTCCTAGCTCAGTCTTCCGAGTGCTGGGACAATATGTATATGCCTCCACAGCAGCTACCCTTTCATTCTCGGCGCTGTGGTTCTTGGGGTTGCTGTAAGTAATGTGTACACATAGCTTACATCCTGTTTGAGAGTTGTGCCATAATTGCTTTTTTACTGCAGTTTATTGTTTGTAGAAGAGAACAGAAGCAGGAGCTTATAGAAGGTGCTATCAGCAAGGCAAGGAACTGAGGTGAGCCTCAGCCAGCAGATACTTCTGGGGGATGAGGTGGTGAAAGGGGAGGAGCCAACTCTACATTTGGGTCTACCTTCAAGGCACACTTCTGATTCCCAGTCTCTTTATCTCCTCAGAGTTATTCTAGACATACTCCTTTTCTTCTAGTAATAGAAACCATTTGTCGTTAGTGTGCTTTTGTTATCCCCTGTAGTGCTAGGGAAAGGTTCAGGGGTTCACATGTTAGATGAGTGTTCTAACACACTGCTACATTCTCAGCTACCCTCCTTCTAAATTAATTTTTTAGCATTACTTTTTCCTCTCTTCAAACTTTACCATATAGCCCCCTTACTCGCCATCAAATTCTGTTATTGTGTATACACACACGTTCGCGCGTGCATGCACGTGCACATATTCATAAATATAACTCTCCTTCAAATCATGGTCTCTTTGTTGTGTGTGTGTGTATATATATATAATATATAAAATTATTATATATTACATATATATAACTAATATATAATTATTGTATGTGTCATCTTTATTCAGTTCATGTTTAGGCAATCTGTTGGTGAGACTTAATGGGTAAACATTTAAGAAAATACCATGTAAAACTGCCATCATGGAGCATTAAGGAGCCTAGTTTTTACAGATGCCTTCATTTCATGAAGAACTTGAAACTTGTTAAATACTAACAATCAACAGTGAACCACCCAGGCTACAAGTGACTGACTGCTCTGACCAGAACTAGAATATTTTGGTAATACTCCCCAAAGTTGTTCTGGCTACTTTAAATCCTAGGACAACTGAAGATCTGACTAAACACTCCATCTGGATTGTTTTGCCGAAGATCACAAAGTTTAGCAGTATTGCCATCAGGGCAACATCTCACTGACATCTCACCACACACTTGGTCTGGTCACATCACTCTGGAGTTAGCTAAAGTCCACTGGTCACACATTTAGGGTCCTTAAATATCAAGGACCTTTACGCTCTAAAAATTCATCAGAATGTTTTCAGTAAGGATTCTGTATTTTGATAGGTAGGCAGCAACCTGACCACACATAGCATTCCAAATTGCATAGAAATCAGAGGACAGAAGCCATGCAGTTGATGTTGTAAGTTTGGTATGCATGTTCACATGTGTTGTGGCAAAGACCAAGGCTGATGATATGGGTCTTCCTTCTACCTTACATAATGAGGCTTGCTGCTCATTTTGTTTGGGTCATTTCCTGTCTTTTGTGTCCTGGGTGATTCATGAGCCCTTGTGGCTGGGAATAAAGCTCGATGTTTGCCCAGTTGCCCAGAATGCACAAGACCCTGGAACTAGCACTGTCTTTAGCCATTGTCTCCCAGTACCTCTAGTTCAGCCACTACTGTCCCCTCTGCCCCCTACCCCAGACAGTACCAACAATGAGTCCACCAGGAGACTCAGGGAGATCTTTAAACTTTATGTGACAGTATTTCCAATAACACGAGCCGTGCTGATGTCCCCCTCCAGGTGTTCTTAAAATCCTGTGAGCAGATGATGGTGAAAGAGTGAGTCTGTCTACCCTGAGCTTCTAATTGTCATGGGAAAAGGTAGCATGACCGCTCTAAGTCAAAAACCAGAGAGATGTAACTTTGGGAAACATGAAGCAAAAAAGTGCTAGGAATAAGACATTTGGGGACAACTGGACCGTATGTATGTGATAAGACAGTGTTAAGTGTTAGAGTTCTTAGGTTCAGCAGCTAGAATGACTGTACTGCCTGGGAATACAAAATATTTAGGAATGCAGCATGACCACAGCTGACTTGAAATGATTCAGGAAAAAAAAATTAAAATGCTGTTAACTAAGCTAGTGACACTAATATGCTTTCAGCTGTCAAATTCATCAGAAGTTGGGAGAATGCTTCAATATAAATTTGAAAAGGAATATACCATGGACTTATAATCGGATGTCCAGCAAGGTCTTATGAATTGTGAGACTAGCCTAAACAAACTGTCTCAAAAGTTAACGAGCACGGCCAGGCAGTGGTGGCGCATGCCTTTAATTCCAGCACTCGGGAGGCAGAGAGGCAGGCAGATCTTTGGAGACCAGCCTGGTCTACAAGAGCTAGTTCCAGGACAGGTTCCAAAGCTACAGAAAAACCCTGTCCCGAAAAACAAACAAAAAAAGTTAAGCGCTGGGTAGGGTTGGCTGACTAGAAACAAATTTGTAGAATATGGGAAAGTTAAGTGAAAATAAACACAGGCCTGTAACTCCATCACTTGAGAGGAAGTGAGGGATCAGAGGAGTTCAAGATCACCCTTGGTGGCACGGCACTCAGAACAGGTGAACAAAAGCAGCATGACCCTTTCTATAAATTATACAATGAGAAAAATAAAAGGTACTATAATATGAATAAATAGTGGCCATTACCAATACACATCAGAGAGATGAGTGGTTAACAAGTAAATTTTTTTTTAATTTTAATTCATTGTTAATAAATGAATGAAAGTAGTATCATGCTGGGCGGTGGTGGCACACACCTTTAATCCCAGCATTTGGGAGGCAGAAGCAGGTAGATCTCTGTGATGAGTTCAAGGTCAGCCTGGTCTACAGAGCTAGTTTCAGAACAGCTAGGGCTGTTACACAAAGAAACGCTGTCTTGAAAACCAAAAGAAAAAAGAAAAAGTATTATAGAGGGTGTGAAAACTGACAGAAGTCCAGCCCAGGCTGAGGAGCTGGTGCTGTGTGTAGCACCACATAGGAAGGGCAGCATACAACAGCAGGAGCAGTAGTGAATGGAAATCCAAGTGATTGCCCCATGTGTAAACCTCAGCTACCCAAGTTCAAAGCCAACCAGGGCTACATGAAGTTCAGTCTCAAAAATAAAATAGAATAATGAAAGTAGGCGAGCTATCAGCCTCTGGTTTAGGAAACTTGTAGTGCAGGGACTAGATGGTCACCTGCAGTTAAAGAAGTGACCAGGGTTAGTCCACCAAAGGACCTCATAGTCTAACTAAGGAACGTGTTAGCCACTGTGGGATTTTCTGAGGGCAAACACCTAGGGTGTACTGAAGAGGGTGAACCTGATGGTTACCATAAGAGCTCATAAGAGGGAAAAAGATCGGAGACTGGGATAAATTAGCAACAGACAGAGAAGGTCTCTGACCAACTTGATATAAATTGTTCACACAGGTGAGCTGCTACTGAAACCAGGAATAAAACAAGGGTCCAGATTTTTAAGGGGTGTTATAATTTCCATTTGGGACATGGTGAATTTGAGGGGCTTGAGGGATACACAAACAGGCAAACAAGATGAGCAAAAGAATAAGAAAAATGCCATGCAGGAGGAGCCAGGACTCACAGCAAAAAGCCTATGAGTTGCCTCCTTACTCTAGCAAGTGAGTTAAGGCTGACTGTATTCCTGGGATGGGTCTTCATGTGCTGAAGCGTGCATGAATTCTGTTCCTTCAGCAATAGTGCAGTTGGGATTGTAAGTAAACAGGGAAATAGACATACACCTATCACCTGAAATTTCCTTTCAAGTAGTATATATGACTTTGAGTTTTAGAAGTGATAATAAAGCCAAATGAGCAAATTTCAGACTTTTATTAAGTTCAATGAATAAATGCCAAGGTAAAGGTTTAAGCAAGCAATTCCCAACATGCATCAGTGAAAACAGTGAGGGGACAATCATGCACTTAAGTCCTAAATAGTCAGGTGAATGGTTGCAGAATTCAGCATTGGGCAGATCTGGGTTCTGAATCATTTGGTTGGTTACAGATGGCATGTGATTGGTTGCTGGACCTAAGTTCTTTAATGGCTGAAATGAGGGAACCAAGAGTGCTGACATGGCAGGAGCTGGATGCAGTATTTAGAATAATTCCTATGAGGAGCCCCCCAGAGATCCTCCTCTCTGGCCGCCATTCTTCCCTTGAAGGCTGGAGCCCTAGAAAAGGTGTATTCAAGCAGCATTTTGTCATATAGCAAGAGGTCAAAGCCCTGTGAGATGGCCTGTCAGAGTGCTGTTATCTCTATAGAGTAACTGCTGAACAGTCAGTCTCACAATGAATGGGGGGGCATCTTAGAATCTGAAGGGACAATGTCTGG